GTCCAGATACAGACCAGGCTCACACCTGCTGAGCTTCAGTGGGCTGCCAGCTGTGAGTTGCAGGGTGGTATGGCTGCTGGCATATATGAGTGCTTATCACATTAGGGACAGAGATGATCGGGCACTAATGTAGTGATGAGGTTATTAAACCCATTGAATGTAAAGCTTGGTGAAAATCAAGAAAGAAAAACACAAAGAAGGACCAAAATGCCCTGCTTACCAAGAAACACCTTGGTGCCATTGATATGTTGAAGCAACAACTCATATGGACTTACCATCAGTGAAACCAGATCCTTTTCAGAGAAGAAAAAATAAACTGTATAATACTCCGATGGACAATAGAAAATGTCACACAGATGTGCAGAACACTGTTATTTGTTGTGTACAACAGACAAATCAGTCGGGAGGTAAAAGTGTGATACTTTAGTTACGAGTGTCTAGATCAAGAACCTGACATTTTTTTTCAGCCTGACATTTACATAAAGGGTTGTAAATGTCTGGAATAACCTATACACTGACATGTTGTTGAAACAGATAGCTTAACTGCCTTTGGGAAATCAGAATCAATTAAATGAGCTTGATGTGCCAAATGGTCTTCACACTTTGTAATCTGATTTACAGTACAGTATGTTCTTATGTTTTCTTGCATATGTGGCTTTCGTAGTAGTAAAGTGCATAAATGACAGTTTGTCTCTTCTACTGCAGTAAGTAAGCTGCAGTGCTTTCAGTAGTAACACAATCACAATATTGTTTTACATGTGGTTCTTACCACAGTTTTACTCATAACCATCTAGCTGGTTTCGAACATTATGACCAACGAGTTGACCACAGAGATTAAGTAGTTTTTCTCCTCATAGGCAATGAAAGTCCTTGAAATGGCTTTGAGTATCATGAGTGGTAATAGCTCTGTGTTTTGTATGCATTTACATTTGTCATGGAAGTTCAGGTTTCAGTAACTCGCATCAGAAGTCCTCACCTGCGTATTAAGTAGTGTTAGCAATGACCTCTGTGCACAACATCTATTGTAGAAAAGACACAGATAAAATTAGGAATATTGGAGGGGATAAATGCAGTTTTGTGTGGTAGAAGGATTTGGTCTTTGTTGAAGGGCTTCTCAACATTGTACTGACAAGCCATATTAAAATTTGATACTTGTATTCCTCAGGAGGATAGCACAGAAACCTGCACCTTCCTTATGGCCACAGCTTGGAATCCAATGTTTCCTTGGATAATCACAGAAGATTATAGACTTTTCAGAAGATTATAGAAATCAACACAGAACTTTAATGTATTAAAAGAAAATAAGATGTGCTTAAATATCATCTGTTGGAGATATTCTGGAGTTTTTTGGTTAGGAAACGTTTTTATATTGTGAGTAGTGCAAAAAGATGTTGGTGTTCTGTTCTGTAGGTCATTGGAACCCAAAGAAGTACACCGCCTATGAGGTCTTTCGTATCAGCCTAATCACTTCTGAACTGATTGTACAAGAAATTGAGACCCAGAGAAATGGGCTGAAGGCCATCTTTGACCTCCAAGGCTGGCGCTTTGCTCACGCTCTGCAGATTAACCCATCACTGGCTAAAAGGATTTCTGCAGTGCTCACAGTACGTACAGTATGTTTATAATCATTGTATTTAAACCGTGCTAGAATTGGAGGCACCGCACGCAAATGGGTTTAGGACGTAGGCCTACGTATGGTGAAACAAAATTGAAAGATATTCAGATGAAACCTTTCTTTCCTAAACATCTTTTTTTCCTCTTCATTCTTCTCAACGGCTTTAGTTTTTTGATATCTTGACCTCAGCCCCAATTCGCAAAATTCCTCCACCACGGCTAATTCAGCCTGTTCTTTCACTTTTTGGATATGCTTCTTTTCTAAGAGCTAATTTTGTATTATTACTCCATTTTAAAGTACTGAGACATATTGGTTACTATTTGGACTAGAATCCCAAGAGCTTCATACTGATAACAACTAAACTGCAAAGATTTTTGTACTGTTATTTTACTTATTGTTATTTTTTTATGTTATCGTCAGGACTCCTTCCCACTGAAGGTGCGTGGCATCCATCTGATTAATGAACCAATATTCTTCCGTCCAGTTTTTGCCATGATCAGACCATTTCTGTCTGACAAAATTAAAGCCCGGGTAAGTGGTCTTTAATGAAATTAGGTACAGCAACAAGTGGAAATGATTGCCTGCAGTTTTATTTATTTGGATATTTTTTAGATTGAATAAGCCCTGAACTATACTGCCTTCCTCTACTGTGTGTTTTGAAATTAAGGCTTTAGTGATATGAATTAATACTCCCATGCAAGCTGTATTCATTGATTTATTTGGAATAGGAACCTTTACTTGATACTTTCTTTTAGAAGAAAGGTAATGTGTTACTTACATCAGTGAAACAATAAAAATTATGGATAGAAATTAGTATCCAAATAGAGCAGAAAAAGACTGTTATGTATTAATTAATCATTAATGTCCCGTCCATCATTACCAGCTAAATGATTGGGAGACGTGTCCCATAAAAAAAAACACTGAACAAAACTAAAGTTATATACCCAGTAATCTGCTCTGCACAAGGCCATTGAAAAGCAAAACCTATATATTTTTAAAGTGGTTTGAGGATATGCTAATTCCTAGAATAATATGTACCCACTTAACGCATTTTCACAATAAAAATGTTATTCATTTTTAAGGGAACATTTTTCATAAAAAGTGTTAATCCCCGTCTTTGTACTTCACAGAGCTGTGCGAGTTGGTGTAAGTAGTGGGATTATGCATGAGTGGATGAACACATAGTGCCGTTATCTGTCCCTGTCCTTTGTTTTACCAGTGTGTCTGACCATAGCCGTTTTATGCGGTTACAATTTTTCTAAACTTCATTATGCCTTTTTATGATGCAACATGATATCAATGATCTTGGGGAAAAAAAATGCCATTTTATTTTTTTTCCCATTCTTTATTTTCATATAATAATAGTATCACAATACTTTCAATAATTCCTTATCCAGTTCGGGATTACAGTAGCCCGAAGCCTATCTCGAGAAGCATTGGGTTCAAGGAGATATGCTCCCTGGATGCCTGTCCATCACAGGGCACACACAGATGTAAAAACCACAGACTCACACCAGGTCAAGTTTTGTTTTTTACAGAAACTAATTAACCTACTTGCAAGTCTTTGGGCTGTAGGATGAAACTGGACCACCTGGAGGAAACAGACACACTTCGCACAGATAGCACCCCAAAAACTGAACCCAGGGCTCTAGCGCTGTGTGTGCACCACTGTGCCTCCCTTAGTATAATAACATGAACATTATTTAAGTTAGGCCATCTTTTTTCTAACACAAATTATTAAAGATAGCTGCCCATGCATAGACACTGAAAGACACGTTAACACGAACATACAAAAAAAACAGCACTGTACATTCTTTCTGATTTACTGATACCTGCAAACAGGCAATCTCATACTTGTACACATACTGTACAGTACACGACAATAACAATGACAAAATAAAATAAAGTTATGAAATGACAGCTGAATAAGTGCCCCCGTTTCCATGATTTTTAAAGGGAAAATTGTCCCCGCGTAACACATCACTTATTGTGAAGTTTTCATGGATTTAACTAACATTACTCAAGAAATTATTGTAAGAACATATTGACTGTTTCAGTTCCATTACAGTTCAAGCCACTCAGTCATACCACTTCCTGACAGAGACTGGGATTCCCAAAATAGCAGCATTCAGTTGACTTAGCACTGCAGGGTAGGAACTGGCCAGTCAGGGTCCACTTAACTCTTGTTGAAACAGTGACTTCAACTCAAGCTTACAGTGATGTCAGTGAGACATGCTCCACTTCTCTAATCGGTGTTACCTTTCCACTAGGACAAAAAACAAAGAGGAAAAATGAAAGAAGAACAATGTGTCATTCTTCATTTGTGGTACAGGAGCTGAAACTATGAGCTGAGATTCACGTAATTGGCAGTTCCAACTTTTTTGAGCGTAAAATAAAATAGATGTGACTGTGAAACACTGTCGTATACTCAAATGTTAGAACCTTTTTTACGATGGAATTCTGTGTTGGTGAAGTTTTAGGACAATATGAAGGATTCTAGCATAATCGTCTCCCAGTTTTGTTGTGAGTGCCAGTAATGGAGTGAAGATCTGATCACAGCGCCTCAAAATGGTGCAGGTGCTCCACACATTGTGTGTCTGAAATTAATAAAGGATAATTAATTAAAATAATTAATCCTTTAACATAAAGGATAATAAGGATCATCCGCCTGTGTCTTTGCAATGCAGATCCACATGCATGGAAGTGCATATGTTCAAAGCCTCTGTGAGCAATTTCCGGTGAGCATTCTACCACCAGAATACGGAGGTACAGGACCTGCCATGGAGGAGCTCTGCCAGGAATGGACTGATTTTATTCTGCAGTCAGAGGACTGGCTTCATAAGCTCTCTATCGACACCACAGGCAGCAGAGAACAAAGCCTTTCGTGTTCCTACAGTCAATAAATTAGACCCCATCAACATCTAGTTTGTTTTTGCTAATTTGTTTTCTTTTCTTTGGGAACCAAGAAGCCATTTTTGCACCTGAAGGAGCCAAGTTCCCCTGTTAATTGAGATTTAATGATTCAAACAATTGATGGAAATACCATTCTGTCGCCAAACTTTCCACAAGGTCTTCGTTGGAAGAGAGCAGCAAATACAGCATGTTTACAATTAGCTAAAGACTCTTGTTTACAGTTTGAAATGTAGGATATACTGCAGGTTGTTTTCAGAGTGGTAATCACTATTGCCCTTATAGTCAAAGGCAAAAGTATTCCATCTGCTACATAATTTGCAGTTCACTATATCAGGAATATTCAATGTAATAAAAATCAAAATTACATTTAATGAAGAATAAAAGAAGTGAATGATTTGTAAAAAAAAATGTAAAATCTGACATTGGAAATTAGTTATGTAATGTTTAGGGAAAACTGACAAACTATAAATCATCATATTAACTTTTGTATAGTTATAGTCTACATTTTCCAGGAAAGATAGTTTTATAAAAAAGCCAATGTGAAAAAGTACATTCAAAAAGCTGAAAAAACAGTTCTAAAAACATTCTCGTATGGTGTAACTTTATGGTCTTATGAGCCAATGCATAAGCTAATACTTATAATACAGAAACAAAAGTTATGGACATACTATCAATTCCAGAATAGTGTAGCCTTTGTTTCTTCATGCACTGCAAATATTTCACAGCACAACACAGTAATATACAGTACTAAGACATAACCCTGACTAACATATTAAATACCTGTCAGAGATTAGAACACACTTAAAATAGCTTCAATTATTACCACCACAACAAATTGAATTTTAAAAGCTAAAGCTAATCCAAATGCTGAATTTTCCATAGTAATCACCTGATCTCAATCCTATTGAAATGTGTTGTGGGCAGATCTGAGAGAGAATGTAGCTGCCTAGGTAACCAGGCCATTTAAATGCACTCAGAGCTGCCTTTGTTGAAGAACTAAAAAAAGGAAGCTGAAAAAAAATATTTTACATGCCAAAAAGTATCCCGAGGAGAGTTAGGTTGCTAAATACTTACATAGTTTAAATGTTTTCTTCTATACAACTACAAATAATTAGAACATAGTTTTGACCTTAGACTTGCTTTCTCATTTGCAGCACACACTAGTGATATAGAGATCATTCACTAAGACAAAAGCAAAATATTTAACATAAGCATGAATTGGTTACAATTCATGTTTTCCTGTAATCTTAAATCACTTGTACTGTTAAAATATATTCCCCTAATTAATGTTTTATTTACAGGAGTTTTATCAATGGTAGTACTTGATTGGATTTATTTTAGGCAAGTGAATCACAACGCTGATAACTGGAATTTCCTATTGCCTTTAAACAAGTCCCTTAGACTTTTTAGTGAGCTCCTGAGAAGTATGGCTATTCATGTTAATATGCGAGTACGTTCAGTCCAGGATGCCCAAGATGCCCTCAACACCACCAAAACCCACAGGAGAAAATGAAATCGTTAAGGTCTTTGCAAATTGTATTTTCTTTGATAAATACTTGCAGGTCAAATGTAATAGTTACCATCTTGTAGCCTCATCTTGTCAGATCTCAGAATGTAAACACAGATTTGCCCTGGGTAGGTCTGGAATGGGAGATCTGATACTGTAAGTGCTGTTGGTGGACCACTGCACTCTTCCCTCTATACCAGAATTTCTGACAAATTGACTACTTAGTCATTAATGGTCTCATGTCACTGTTCATAACATACAGCAGGTAAATGTTACCGATGATGTGCTGACCAAGTTACACTCTGGGATTGCACAGTGTAGCCTACCTAAACCTCACCTTTTATGCAATTGGTGTAACGATCTCTCACTTCTTTGGGTGAAAAGTGTTATATAAATGCTATTGATTGTATTTACTTCTGTATCACAGTTTTCATCTCAATCCTTTCGAGCTTTGTTCCAAAAGGGTACATCATTTTCCTAATGACCATGTCTCCCTGGATTTAATTGGGAATTACGTTTCATAGTAAATTAAGAACATCATAATATGAGGAACAAGAGAGATCTGCAGTATAGAAAAATCTGATCCAAATAAGTCATCCTTCAACAGCCTATGATTTCAGCATTGTATGGATCGTGTATGGAGTGTACCTCTTTGTGAACTGTGAAATGTTGTGTTCAAATGTGAATCATATGAATGTAAAGACAAACGTAGGTTGTATAGTTTATTGTTAAAAACAAGGTTGGATTTATTAATAATTAAGAGTCCTTCTTAAACCATATGTATTTGGAATGTTAGGAACCACAGTGCGAAACTGTCTTAGAAATCCAGTGGACTTTGCCAATGAAGTATGTTCACTGCAAAGCAACTGACAGAACATTCAGCAAGGTTTGGAACTGGGACGTGACAGGTAATACAAATTATACAAAAATATTCATCTGCAACTCCTGTCAAAATCATCTGCTCAGTCGCCATCTGTTTTAACTGTAGTTGAGAACAGAACTGAATTTTAACTTGAACCGCAAGTCTACACCTGAAAACACTGGAGTGCATTGCCCCACCAAGACGTTCTCAAAGGCATCGACTCTTTTCCAAATGAACGGCAATACACACAAATCAAAGGGCACAAGCGGAAGTGCATTTAAAATCTAGAACAGCAGTTCTTTACCCAAAGAGTGGTGGGAGTTTGGAACAAGAGACCCAGCCATGTTGTTGAAGCTGATACCCGGGCTTTTTTCAAGAAACAGCCAGATGAGCTCCTTTACTAATTACTGCAATGGACAAGACGGGTCGAATGGCCTCCCCTTGTTTGTAACCTTTCGTATGTTCTAAGAAATAAATTGTCTATTTAATGTTAAGCAGTTTGAGACTTCTGTGTTTCAAAAGTTGTTGTTTTTTTCTGTGGACTGGCATTCCTTAATTGAATCTTCAAGCAGCAGCCAGGGAATAAATTCCTGCCTTCTCCTTATCAGCCACGTCGGGAACACCTGCGTTCCTGTGGAAAAGCAGTAAATCGAATGGGATCTCTCAGATGCCCGCTTTCTTACTAAGGAAATTTGTTTGTTTTTTTCAGTAGAAATTTACTGAAAGGTATCCCATGCTTATCCCTTCTATACTAATTTAAGTGGAAAATTGAAATCCAACTATGTCATCTTTACTACTTACCTTTCAAATGTTACCATACAGTAGTTATGCCCATGTCAGCATTAGATAGTCTATAGCATATACCTATTCTTGGGTCCTATTCTATATTCTATTTTATAGTTTACCCCACATAAATCCTAAACTTTCGTGCTTCAGTTGGGGGTTATTTTTGATGTACAGTACCACTCTCACTTCTTTTGTCTCGGTTGTTTTTCCACAAAATCTTTATCCACAAATTCTATATACTGTACATCCACATAATCCTTCCCTTCCCATGCTTTAGTTATTCCTATAATGTTGTACTGTAGTTACCTGTTACTGCAGTAGCCTCAAGTTCCTGGCTACTTTACTCCTTATGCTTCTGACGTTGAAGTTGAAGTGTTTAAGACGTTAGAAACAGTGTTGTGAGGAAACACTGGGGGACAAGTTCATTCAGGAAGAAAATCATGACTGTCTGAAGAACAGGGAAAAGAGTAGCCCTGCTTTCAACAATTATACAAACTAGATAAATAAATCCTGCAGAAAAACAGCAAAACCTCTTTTGAATGACTGAGGCAGCAGCAGGAAATAGGGACTTGAAGACGGGGAAAGAAATTACTTTTTCCCCCAAAGGAAAAAAGCTGTTCACAGATCACTCAGTAGGACATAACTGACTCTTATGGCAGGGGTTATGCCTACTTGTTAAAAATTTGCAGATTCCTATTCATTCAAAATGGAATAAACAGAGCCATGGTATTACAGACTAATTAGCCTCACCTCAATCATAACCACATCATCAGAGGATCTAAAGATCTGTAGGAGGAACATGCATTTTATAAGATGGCATAGATTTAGAGGAGGTACACTGCACAAAGAAATCTATTATGAGTCAGTGGTGGCAGCGGCCATCTCCTACGCTGTTGTGTGCTGGGGCAGCAGCACCATGACAAGAGATGCAAATAGGCTCAATAAACTTATCAAGAAGGCTGGCCCCTGGAGGTGGTGGCTGAGAGGAGAATGCTGACCAAGCTCACAGCCATCATGAACAACACCTCTCATCCGCTTCATGGGACTCTTAGCAACAGACTGCTCCAGCTACGGTGTTCAAGGGAACGTTTCCGCAGGTCTTTCCTCCCGGCGGCTGTCAGGGTGTATAACTCTGCCCTAGGCTAGGACTGTTAGCCCTTCATTTGCTCGTCTATGGACAGCATGTTTGCTCTATTGTACTTTTTGGACAATCAGTCTGTATATACCTATGCACATTTTGCACATATTGTATTGTTTTTACAGTGATTATGATCATATTCTGCACACACCTATTTATTTACTGTATTTAATATTATTTTGTATTACTGTACGTATTCTAATGTTTCGGCTATTCTGATGTCTGTTTTTTGCTTGACTTGGGCTGCTGTAACATATCAGTTTCCCTTCAGGATCAATAAAGTCTTATCTATCTACTGCTGTAGTAACTTTATGATACTGTATATAATACAGTATATAAACATACTGTAGCATGTTGAGAGAACTTATGATAAAGTACTCTCAAATTTAAAAATATAGGAATCCAAGGTAATGTGCAGACCAATAAAAATGTGTAAAAAAAAACAGAAAACAGGGTACTGATAAGGAGAGTTAACGCAAGATGTAATGATTGTTCAATCTAGAATTATTGGTAGTAATGCTGCTTCACATTAAAGGCTATAGGGTACTGTAATCTTTATGTATTAAATTATTAAAACTCACGGAAATGTAAATTATATATCCGTCAGGCAGCAGATCTCTTTATTCTAAAGTTATATCGCAATTTAATTTCCTAAAAGCAAAAGGTGATCGAAAATATGACTACATATCCCAGGGAACACTGTTGCACTGTATCTAGTGACGCAGATACGATGTTGTAACAGTATTTACTGCTGTTTATCTCACTTTTTAAAGTTCGGTTAGGTCTCGGGTAGAAGCGCAAAAAGAAATACGTGTTATCCCTGTGTACAACGTGCAGTAGAATATATATTAATTTTTAAAATTTAGTTTATGGAAATGAATTTTCTGAGTCATGCATTCTTACTAGTTGTTTTTCTTGGCTGTGCCTCGTCCGCAGTGTTCAAAACAGCAAAAATAAACGACAGACCCATTATCGGTGAGTTAAAATTATTAATCTCATTTGTTTGCTTAAAAAAATAGACACTAATTTACAAATTTCTCTTCGTTTTATATTCTGTACTGGTTCAGGCAAGTCACTCCGTGATTTTACCGTGTCACTTGACTCCAACCGGAAGAACAGTTGAATTAGGCAGTAGATGCGGGTTTTAAATTTTAGTCAAAAGGGCCCAGTTTCATGCAGATTTTGTTCCAGTTTCAGCAATCAATCACGGTATTTCTTGCTTCATTACAGTTACCTGCAGACCACCTCAGAGACTGGGTAGGATTATTACAGTTACTGTAGTTGATCAAAAGTAAAATGAATACATTTTACAGAACTTTTTGAGCTCTGGTGCACTATAGTTGATTTGAAACAGGGAGCCTTTACTTTAGTTAATCAGGTCAGTGCTTCATTTGTCACACTAGACTGAATACTTCAAATGAAGAACACAGTAGTGAGACACACCTATGGCAAAAAGCAAAGTGAAAATTTAGAATGGAATTAGGATAATTTATTCAATATTTAATCAGTACAGATTTTACAGTGGTCGTTGTTGTTCAGTTAATATCTTGAGTGAGCATCAATCTTTTCCCAATATTACAAATTTAATTTTCGTAATGCAGTACTGCAGTGAAATAATTTCTTATGACATAAAAAATAAATGTATAATGTATTTGCAATTGCCAGTATCACTCTGTTTTTAAAACATGTCACATTGTCCAGCTATTCATATACTTTGGTCTATACAATATACATTGTAATGGTGTAGGCTATATCTTATTTATTTCTATTTTTTCTCCTGTGCACCTAAAGCAAGAAAGGTCTCAAGCACAGCGATCGAAATGGTTCAGTGTTATAACCTAAAATGAGAGTTTGACTGATAAATTATTTGCCAAGCATACTGTAGAGATCTTTGCGCCTTGCATTGGTAACCATGTTTATCTTATTATAGAATATTATATCAACCATTTTAGGGGTTTTGGCTCAAGAAATAAAATCATCTGAGAACCCAGAAATTTCTTACATTGCGGCGTCATATGTGAAGTTCCTGGAGTCAGCAGGAGCTCGAGTGGTGCCTGTAAGGTAGGAACATGAACTACGCCCTGCTCAGATAAGTGAGACCATGCACTGCAGTAAGGTTATGACATCTTACATGGCTGTATGGTTACCACTTCATCCTTTGCAATTTAGATATTGACTTACACCATGCTATAGACGCTTTATTCAGTTCAATGAATAATGTAGTGCTCAATGATGTTAAGTGGACATGATATGGAATTATGTTACAGATCTTTGTTTTGGCTTGTTTTTGAAAGCTGAACTTGAAAATAAATGACAGCACTTTTAGAATAGGATTAGGATTGGATAAGGTAAAAAGAGAAGAGTATTGCCAGTACTATTTTAATTACTAATAATTTCTAGTTAATTCTTAGTGAAGTTTCATATTTGTCATACTGTATTATCGCTGGCAGTGATGATTTTAAAAAATTGGAGAATTAATACAATAGGTTTACAGATAAAGCGAGAAAGTAGTACTGTAATGTCTGCATATTTTTCCACCTAGTCTTAATGGCACTGTTACAGATTATAAACATAACACAATTTCAGTAGTTCCTGAAACACCTTTTGGCAAAATGTATTTGCCTTTGTCACTGTGTTACCCCATTTCCTATTAGCAAAACTAGAAAATATTGCCACTAAGAATACAGTACATTATCATTTACAGACTGTAAATCAAATGACATGTAAATGTAAATGTAAAAGAAATGACAATTTTACAATATCTAGTTATGCAACCCTTTCTGATGCAACCCTAACTGATGTTACATATTGCTGCAGTGAGTAAAACAGTATAGTATAATAATCTTCTTTGTTTTCAGTTCTGTAACTCCTTGCTTTTTATTCTTACACGTAATATAAACAAAGCTTAACTGTTAAGTCTTGGGCTTCTTTTTAAAATAAATGCCTTAAAGGCTATGAATGGGACATTAGAACATGTATTTTTAAATCTGTCAGCTGGGGAAAAGTTTTTCTTTTTAAGAAAAAGAATGGGTTTTATTCTTAAACCTACAAATGCAATAAATTCCTTTTATTTTTTGTGAAAAATGTTATAACCTTCTGACCACTAGGTTTTCCAATTTCTTAAAAAGAACAGATTTCTCGTAGTATTTCATCAACGCTTTAAAAAACTCATTTCCCCTTTCTTGTATAGAATTAATCAGTCACAAGAGGACTATGAAAAGCTTTTCAACTCTATCAATGGGTATGTATTCTACTGTATATCACTACATTTTCTTGTTTGGGGGTATTGCACCTCAAAAGTCTTAAGGTTATCTTAAGACTGTTTTTTGTCTTACTGCATCACATCTTTATTTGAATCCCTCACTGTCCAGGAGAGTCAAGGATCACACTGTGTTCTTAGGCAGTGTGCCTCTTTCTCACAGTGACATGAAGCTGAAATGGAGGCGCTTGGGTGCTGTGGAGAAGGGCCAGTACAACTAGCTCTAAATCAGTCCTGCTGGCACCTGGCTAGCCCCAGCCAGCACTGTGATGAAGCAAGTCAAGGGAACGCTGTGTTGCATGTCCACTTGCTAACTTGCTAACAGTGAAATGTGAATGGGGCACTTGGCACAACATTGTATCCATACTGCATCCCCTGACACTGGATTATCTACAGACCAAGACAGAGATTAAGTGGGAAAAGGATAAGAAAGTCAAAAGTCTGCATGATCTGCTTATTCCTTTAGTTATTTTCGGTTTTAAAAACATGATAATATCATGAAAATGTAACTTTCTCCTGTCAGATTCCTGTTGCCGGGGGGAGGAGTCAACCTCATCTCTTCAGGGTATGCCAAAGCTGCAAGTGTTTTTTATCAGCTTGCTATAAAGGTAACTTTCGTTCCTCACTGTATCTTTGACATTAATCGCAAGACCTGCGCTGACCAAGTTCAGTTATGTGCAGAACAGATATCGAATGCTAAAGTAAGCATTTTGTCAGCTGAAATAAAAACGTTGATCCATTCCAATTGCTGATTTCGAAGACAGTTTGAGGTTACAGTTTACTGCTGGGTAAAACAAGATGTCTTAAATGTACTGTACATGTGTTATGAAAGAAAATATGTGTGTCCCTGTGTGTTTTATTTATTTTTCATTGAGGTCATTGCCACAGTCTGTAATGGAACACAGTACTATGGCATCAGCCGATGAGTTTTCACAGGGCATATAATCACAGGCTTATAAGGGTTCCTTCTCAGGGGCATATGGAGGCAAAACAATAAATAAAATGCACGTAAAGTAATTTTTTTATTTCTAAACTCTAAGCTTTCGAACTCTGAGCTAAGCTAAGCTACTCTCACAAAATGTCAATTTGTGCTGTTCTCATGTTTTGAAACCTGTTTTTATAAGAATGTTTATCCCTGACAGGAAGGTGTAGTTTCTGATACCTACTGATGTCTGCTGGGCCACACACTGTAGTTTTTCATAATTTCCTGTTTTGGGTAGGATTGATGTGTCCTTTTTTGAGCTTTCCTCTTCAGGACATACACCTCCATATGCAGAGCCCTACATATGCTTATATAACCTTCCCCCAACCTGCCTAAAAATTAATTAAAAATAAATTGCTCATAGTTATGGATCATACAGTAATGCACCGTAGAAATCATGTAGACCAGATGTGCAACATCATAAGAACTGCTTTTCGGGTATTACTAATGTAAATCGAATTACCCTTTAGTCGTCGGTTGTGACCCCATGTCCTTGATTATTTGTTTGAAACCCTGTGAACTAGAGGTGTTTTCATGCTCTGTAGTGAAACAAGGACATGGGATTGCAATTGGAAATGTAAAGGAAATTCATTCAAAATAAAGAAAATGTAATAATTCATCACAGCTGGGGTTGCGAGTGTCTGGTACAGGCTTCCCAGCCAGGTAGTTTCTAGAAGTGGCAGGTAAAACCTTTAATTTCACGTACAGTAGCTGTTAGAACTACCTACTGTAACACCCAAGGTTGGGTCCTTTGCAGTCTTCCTTTTTTTCTTATGCTCATAACCTCAGAACAGACCACCTTAAATATGTAATAATGAAATATAGTTATTTATTTTTGTTTGTTTTAGGCTAATTCTGAAGGTGACTACTTCCCTATTTGGGGTACCTGTTTAGGATTTGAGGAGCTGACTTACCTTACGAGTGGAAAGATTCTGTTAGTAAGGACTAACACTACTAGTGTTGCACTTCCGTTGATTTTTACTAAAGGTAGGTTCTCGTTCCATACAATCATACATTTCCTAAACTGTATTCTGTCCAAATTCATTTATTCGGTGTTGGCTGTGTGTTAGGTGTGTAGATTTATTCACTGTGTAGTAAATCTGTAGCAGTTATTTACATTACACTGTTTTGTAGGTGCCAGAGAAAGTAGGCTGTTTAAGAACTTCCCTACAGAGCTCTTGGAAGCTCTTGCCACTGAGTCTATAACCGAAAACTCACACATATGGAGTCTCTCTGTTGAGGTGAGCCTTTCCCAAAATGCTTTAGTTTGTAGTCCATGCTTAAATATGGTGGGTAGCTGCGTCAGCATGCGTAGGCTGTATAGGAACAAGTAATAGGTTTATTCCATGCTGAAAAAAAGAAGCTTTTGTATTCTACTGTATATACTACTGTCACACCTGAAGAAGGCTCCACGGCCGAAACGTTGTGTTCTCTTTCTTCTTTTTTTCAGCATGGAATAAACCTATTACTTGTTCCTTCGTGCTTAAATATGCAGGTCTAAATCCAGGTTGATGCCTCAAATGGTGCTATTGGACCAGTAAGTGGCCCTATTCCCTCCCGACCAGAAATGTCATTGTCCCAGTATGGCTAATGAGGAAACTGCTGTAGACATCTGTTCTTTGAAGAGATGTTGAACTGAGCTCAAGTGAAGCACAAAAAAATTAAATTACCAAATTCTTTTTTGCTCCATTTGTGCCATTGAAAGTAGCGTTTGTGCTCTTTTGTTCCATTCCTCTTCCTTTTGGAGTGTTGTCACTCAGCACCACCCCAACCGGTCTCATTTGTAAGTGCTCCGTTATTGCCAAAGTGTGCCATTCAAAGTAGTGTCCGAGCTACGTTCTTTCCCGAGATCCTCTGAGGGAGTTGCCTTTGGCAGGAAAACCCAAGATCTCCCTGCTCAGCTGAGCCAAATCCGGCCCTGTTTGGTTGAGCCAGAAACGTACTAAATTTACTAAATTGTATGGGGTTTTACTCTTTGACTTGCAATGTTAGCAAAGTAGTCAAGCTACATCTCAATCTCTGATAACTGTAAACCTTAAGTTATTTTGAAGTTGGCCCAGCCAGTGCTAAGTACCCATTTGCCAGGTTGTTTGGAATGGGGTGTTATTTGCATAGTTAGTTGCACGATTGTGAAGTAAACCTTACCGTTGCTTCCAACCTGTTCCAGAAATACAATAGTGACGAGAAACTCCGAAAGTTCTACAACATTTTGACAACTAACAAGGATGAGAAATTGGAATTTGTTTCTACCATGGAAGGTAAGACGATGTTTCATAAAATAAGTTAATATAATAAAATGTAGAACATTCATTTATTTAAAAAGTTGGGCTACAAAAAAATACCTCACACAATTTCAACACAAAATGTCACCTAGTTCTTAGATGATCTCAGTTTCTTAAAAGTTGTTTTGCAATGATAATTAAATGTTTTATGCTATAGAAATATAAAGTGAATCTATAATATTTAGTTTAAATTTAAAGACTCCGAAGTAGGATGGACATTGTGTAAATACAGTATCAGGATGTCAGTTGTATGATAACTTGTCTGGAGCTGGTATGTATTTTAAAAGTGCATGAAAAAGACTAAGCAGTACAGTCTGTAGGCTAAATAAAAAGCATCTGGCTTGTGGCACTGTGGCTCAGCTGCATTCAAAAGCATGTTTTCTTTGATACTCATTTGGTTTAGTTTTCTGAGTGGTCGAGAAGTCCCCACTCACTAGATTTGATCCTCTACTAATAGTTAATTTGTGTGTCCTTCATGGTTTTTACTTTCTTCCATAAGACTTGCATGTCTTACTGCTCCCCATTTCTTTATCCCATTTCTCAAAATAACTCTTAAATGCATATCATTACTCAAAATGTAAAGAACAGATTAAGAGATTACTTTATTAGCCCTATACAATTTATTGTATTAGGAATTCCTCTTTTCGCATACCCCAGCTTGCTCTCCGTGAGACACACAGACAGGGAGAGAAGCTTGGGGTCAGAGCACAGGGTCAGCCGTTTATACAGCGCCCTTGGAGCAGCTGGGGTTAAGGGCCTTGCTCAGGGGCCCAGCGGAATAGGATTCCCCTGCCCGCTGTATGATATAAACCGGCAACCTTCTAGCCACGGGCGCAGATCCTGAGCCACAGAGCCACCGCTCTGCCATAAGAAGGCTGTACCCCTGGAAATGCAAAATGTAAGGTGGGAGGCTCCTCAGCCCCCCCAAGCAAAACACTTGCAAAGGCAACCCCCAGCTCCCAGAACGGAAGAAAAAGACACATGATCATCACGCAGACACCACTCTTCTAGTTCAGTGCATTTCAGTTTTGATTTTTCTGTAATTGGCCAAGAGGGCTCAAAGCAACGTTTTGTTTTGTAACTTTTCTTTATTACTTTTAAACATTAAACATTTTAACCAGTGTTTGCACTGGATGCTTCCGAGTTGAATGCATATAAAAACGTGAATCCAGGAGCTACAATTCACTCCAGGCGCAGTGGTTAGCAGTGTTGCCTTGCAGCGCTGGGGCCCTGGGATCAATCCCAGACCTTGAGTGCGATCCCATGTCCTCCCCATGTTTGCATGGCTGTCCTCCAGATGCTCCGGTTTCCTCCCACAGTCCAAAGACACACTGATAGGTTAGTTGGCCTCTGGGAAAACTGGCCCTGGTGTGAGTGTGTGTCTGTCTCTGTCTGTCCTGTGATGGACTGGCGTCCTGTCCAGGGTGTATCCTGCCTCATGCCCATTGCTTGCTTGGATAGGCTGTGACCCTGACCTGGACAAAGTGGTTGGAAAATGGATGAATGGATAGGGATGAAGAGTGAATAATGTTAACATCCTAAGCAAATGGAACTGTGGTTTGTTTGGCCTACAGTCCTACAGTAGTTAACGTAGTATATGTTTTATTTTGAAAATGACGGCCTGTGTTGACAGCTGTAACCCTGTTTTAAAATTAAAAATAAACACCGAGGTCTCCTAGGAAAATAAGTACAAATGCTTCAATTAGGTTTCCACGGGAATTCCGTTGTTTTACATATGGCTTGATTTTTATTCTGTGTGCAGCCTATGATGTCCCCATTTATGGAACTCAGTGGCACCCTGAGAAGAATGCCTTTGAGTGGACAAGACCATACATTCCCCATTCACCTAATGCAGTGAAGGCTACCTTCTATATGGCTGATTTCTTTGTCAATGAAGGTAACTGATCAGGTTCTGTTCCGGTGTTAAAGCCTCCTGATTGGGTCAAATCAGAGTGCGGCGGGGGGGGGTCACAAAGCCTCCACTTTAATGTAGGCCCTGCTGCTGCCTGCCAGGCTGGGGGCCATCTCAGACTGGGAGAGTGACATACAGTTCTGTGGGGCTCTTGTGTCTTGCTGTTCAGAAGTTACTCATGTCACTGGCTGCAAGCTGGGAATGGAGTGGGGTTTAAAGAATCTGTTCTCTGACCTCAAATACTGTTCTTTTAATTTTAAAATAAGCATGGAAGTGTGTATTCTAGTGGGAGGTATTTCAGTATATAATCATCCTGAGTTAGTGTGAGGAGCAGGCTCAATACCCTAAATGATCAAATATTTGTATAAATTAGCAAATAATATACACACACACTGTCTATATACACTTACAGAACATTGACTAACAGATTTAAGAACACATTTTATTTCAGTAGAGAATGGCTTCAGCTACTACATTGTCCTGAAAGATGAAGCTGTAGTTAATTTACCAAAAATGTCTAAAACGTAATCAAGAGCTTAATTTGTTGTATTAATAATTTACTCTGCATTAGTCTCTTATTTAGAATGTATTTTTTGTTAAAAATGTGCTTTCAACAGATATAAGCAAAAAGATATTTATGGATGTGCTGTAAATGGGTTTTCTTTGTTTTTAACAGCAAGGAAAAACTTTCACCATTTTCCAAGTGAAGAAGAAGAATCAAAAGCTCTGATCTACAACTACATTCCAGTTTATAAAGGAAATCACTCTGCTTTTGAGCAGATCTATATATTTTCTTAGCAACAGGGTTTTAATTGAAAAACATTTTTGTTTGCTCTTAAGGTGGCAAGGCAATAGTTTACGAGTATATATCTTTCATTTGATTGAATGCTTATTCAGAAGAAAAGAATGATTGTGACAGATGATTTATAATTTTCTTGAATAATGTCATTACTTAAATTTGATGGAACAAAACCAAAATCAAGAGGCACTTTACAATTATATTTTTAATTGCATGTCCAGTGAAATAGAGATGTTGGGTGGGAAGCTGTGTTGGTGTGTGTTGGCTACAAAGGAAACATTGAAAGGTTAATAAGGAACAAGTAACGGGTTTATTCCATGCTGAAAATTCCATTCTTTCTTCTCTTTTCAGCATGGAATAAACCCGTTACTTGTTCCTTTGCAGCCTGTGCATGCTGATGCAGCTCCCCACCTGAACTATTAAAGGTTAATTCCAAGCTGAAAAATAGAAAGGAGAAACACATTTCAGCTGTTCAGTTCATCAGATGTCCTCTGCCCCTCTATACCTAAAGAAACAGCCGAAAAATTGTGTTTCTTCTATATGTTAGCTTGGATTGAACCTTTATTAGTTTCAGTGAAATAGAGGGCTATCATTTTGCTTTCTGCATTTTTTTTGTGTGATTTCTACTTGAATGTATTTTTAATTAAAATGCTGAAACCTTTAGAGTTTTTTAAATATAGTGTATGTTTTGGGTGCACTTTTTGTCATTTACACCACAGAATTTCCAGTTTTGTCACAGATGCCTGCTTTCTCAGTGATGATGTGTCTTACGACAGGTCAGGATTTCTACCATCTTACTGCATGACGTACTGTACATGTACAAGATCACTGTGCAAAATGTGGCTTCATGTCAGTGATGACCTGGGGAAACTTCAGCATTTTGTGAAACATCATACCCTGGTAGTATTTTAGAATTTTAATACTTTTAAGAGGATGATTTGTAAGAGACTTTAATAGTTTTATGACATAATGCTATTTTTTTTCTTTTTGTTAATCTAATCCCCATAAATTCCCGTCCTTTTACTATTCTGTCTCTCTTAACGAGCTCACGGACAAAGCATTTCATTGCCGACAACACTGCTGTATGCTGAACTGTTTGTTCATTGATAAATAAATCTTGATTAACTGATTGATTGAGACATTTTTGATTTGTTGTTTGACATTTGTTTTGCAAAAGTTTTTAGTGTTCTTTTAACACAACTTAATCTATCAAATTATTACTCCCAGTGTTATAATCTCCTATTGGTTCCAGAACTCAGAACTGTTCCCTCAGACTCCCAAACTTCGGCTTGATACTGAATAGAATGGTGCCCAATTAAGAAAACAATAACTGCCTAGTTAATTATTTCTGTAACATACCTACAGTCATTAGCATCTCCTTGTTACATGAATAAAACGTAGGAATTACAACATTTTATATAAACAAAATGCACCGGTATAGAGAGGTATTCATGCTGGACTCAATGATTGTGAGGCATCCGGGTCCTGTGGCCGCAAACTAGGTCCAGATTATCACCCCTGCCTGACGGACGGTCTTGTGGCTCATTCAGGTGAATTTAAGCCATGCAGCAACATTCTTTTTGGAGAGAAGGGGTTTTCTCCCATCTACACATCCACAAAAGCCATTATTGTTCAATCTTTTGCTCATGGCAGACTCATGAACTCAAAATGTTTACCTTTTTGACTGAGGCTTGGAGATTCCCTGGAGCATCATGCTGTCTGACCGTGGGGTGAATTTGCTGGGACACCCACTCCTGAGTAGGCTGGCAACCGTCTTGAACTTTTTCTCCCTTGTAAATTCTCTTTCTCACTGTGGAATGATGGACTGCATATTGTTTGGAAATAGCTTTGTATCCCTTCCCAAACTAATGAGCAGCAACAATTATTTTGCTGAGATGGTCATGGATATCTTTTGACCTAGCCATGATATGTTAAAACAAACCTGACTGTTCCACTCCAAACTGACAACATTTCTGATTCTATACACAGAATCCTTCCCGATTATCAACTAATTATGTGCACGTTTAACAGCACCAGATTCCAATTACCTTCTTAATGGATATGGAAGCAGTAAGGATGCTTTTATTTTTTTTGCACAAGGCTTCTGAAATTTGCCTTTTTTTTGCTTAAATAATAAAGTGTGTTTTATTATAAAGTAATTCTGTGTTATTTATCACATGAGGTTAGATTTATCTACTGTTAGTACTTTGTGGGGACTAAGTGAAGGTAAGATTTTTGTTAATATGTAAAAACATAGAATCCTTAGAGAGTGTGGTTTCTTCTTCACATCACTGTAAAGAAGAGGTTGATGGGCCACAAAACCAACATTTTGCAAAGGCCAAATTCAGTCTCTATACTTGCAACCCATTGAAAATGTGTGGTTCAAATTGAAGAGGGCAGTCCATGAGCACGTAAAAGTTAACAAAAGATATAAACTATCTGGAAAGAATCTGTATGAAGGAATGGTATAAGATCCCTCTCAATATTTTCACCAACTTAAACATAAAACATTATGGAAAGCAGCTCAATCCCATTATCGTTGCAAGGAGAGCCAATAATTGTGGCACATATTTTAAAAACATATATTTATAGTTTGAAAAACTAATTTTTGGTCGATTTCATTTGATCATTAATAAAATAAAATATATTCCGCTTGTTGATAAATTACAATATAGCTCATTACCTGTTGATTTTTTTATGCAACTTTTATTGTTCATCTTTAGCAGGATCAAAATGGAGGCGACACTGTTTTTTTCTTTAGAAATGTGCTATTACTTCATCTAAAATTGAAAAAAAAGTGTGAAATTTTCTTTGCTCTTTAAGATTTGGCTGTGGCCATATACACAAATGAATAAAATTGCTCCTTTATTATTACTACCAGAGATTATCTTATCCATGATTAAATAATTCAGTTATAATACTTAGCCTCTAGATGGCATATATCATTTACATATGAGGTACACAGATTTAGGAATTACATGAGAGTAGGCCACTAAATATATACATATTTGTGAAGATAAAATGAGTTGTACATTTTTACTTGGGGATAATTGTGTCGATAAATTAATGTTATTACTCAAAGATGAACCAGTCTGAACAGCTTTATCTGTTATTTTGTGACTTTTGTGCAGCCCAAGAGAGTTCACCAACAGTACAACCAAAGAAAACGCATGGGAATAAACTGCAGGTTTAAAATGAATGGGAAATTTGCTAAAACAGTCTGATCAGTGTGTTTGATAATTACTGCACAGGCATTTTCTTGTCATGAAACGGTATTTCAATGAAAGACACATTAGTCTCTGATGATAACATCCTAACTACACTGTTGTTCTGCAGCAAAAGGAAATGTTTTTCTTAACACTTTACAAATATCCAACAGCATTTCAGATACTTTCAGATTAGAATCTCTGAGAACTCCTTTGAAGAAGTAGTTTAATTAAAGAAACCATCAGAGGCTTTTATGGTAGGTTTTTCTTTTATGAAGATTTCACCAGATAACTATGAAAGCATCTTAGTTAACATTTAAAACTAAGAAATGTGAACTTTAGAGAATAACACTCATTAATGAACTCGCAGACACAGTTAAACTACTCCAATTTACAGTTTATTAATAATTGACAAGAAATTCTTGTTATTAACACTAATTTGTACACAGTACCCCAAACTGGTCTACCATTGCCTGAAAAAAAAATTTACATAGTGTTCTTATTTGTAACACTTGTCACATAAGAATGTGTAAAATATTTACAAGGTAGAAATTAAATGTGCAAAATGGTTCTACTGTTCTACATACAATAAAAATATCCACAGACTGTCACACATACAAAGCCAGAAATAGTGTATTTCGTTTTTTTTCCCCAAAAGATAAGAATTATTTTATTGCAGCCTGTCTCAAGCTGGCAGTGTTGGCAAAGCATGACATATAAGTACATGAAGAGGAACTTAAAACATAAAAATAGAGCTAACACTTTCAAAACTGTGATATGCAGAACATGTAGTTATTACCTGTCCTGTTACAGTAGCTGACCTAAGAACAAAATATTATAATGTACCAACACTAACTGCTTAATGCTCTTTTGTGTCTTGAAGTGTTTTGAGAAGCATACAAAATACTGTGCATTCTTTAGTTACTCAAAGTTTCATTTTCTAAGTCTTGCAGTAGAAGAGACTTATACTTATTGGAGCCTGTTTGACCTTCACAAAGATTTTCATGAAGTAAATATTAAAGAATCATCAAAGAAGAGCCATGACCTGCCTTAAAATCCTTATGAATTGTATAGTTGAAAGCATGTTGCAAAAGAACTGTAAAATGCTCCATTTATCCTGCAAGTTAAAAAGTTATGTCATTAGTATACGAGTTGAAATGGAAAGTTATATGGTGTGAAATTTTCTGCTGCCTTTTTAAAACTGCCTTTAAGTGTTAGTATTAACATCCATCCATTTTCCAAACTGCTTTATCCAGTACAGGGACGCTGGGGAATGGGACACTAGTCCATTGCAGAAGTGTTAACATTTCTTTTCTGAAAATCTGATTAATATGACAGGACTAACACACATACTGTACTTAAAAGCCTGTTTTAGCGCTCTGTGAGGTGCCACAGTGGAATCTATAATATTATCAAGTCATTTATTGATCTGTTTCAACAATACCACAAACTGTGGAATACTGCTGACTGGTCTCGGTGGCCTATCTGAGACATCACCTGTAAAGAATTTCAGATAGGACGGCTGGTTTAAATTTAATTTAGGTTCTGAAGACTACACTAACAAAATACAGCACCAATGTGAATTTCTGTCCTATTTGGCTACCACTAAACAAGTTTAAACATTTAATGAAAATAGAACAGTTTCTATGCCACCATTCACTTTTTCTGCTGTCCAGCAGAGGGTGATAAAGTCTGTCTTAAACCTTGTCTCCAGTTTTCATTTACACTGAAGAAAAACAAAACTTGCAGTTATTTTCGATATGGAGCCTCAAATGAAAACTACACAACCTAGTCAGTGATCAAAGAAGTTACAGATTTTTACGAAGGCACTAGTATTAATATGAAGAATGTACAGCCTGAGAATGGTTTTTGTAAAAGGTAGTAAATGTTAACTGACTTAAAAAAAACTTAGTGGATCAAATAAAGAAACAGAGAGACTCAAAGTTAAATTCTAAAACTAAAAAATACATTAACGTATCTTAATGGATTTAATTCATGTGAAGAAAGGACATTTAAAAGGAGCTGCTGAAAGAACAAGAATAGGATGTAAGTAATGAGGTCCGCGTCAGGTGGTAGTTTCGCGTTTCGGAAGTTAGCAAGTTAATCGGAACCCAGTAGCAAAGCTGGAATTTTACAAGTGTTAGATGAGTTCATATCTCTGCATTTTAAAAAAGAATCCATATGGAAGTTTCTATTTATGATGTATAAGATTTTTAACAATCTATTATTTTGTATATTTAAAATAAAATAAAATTATCTTTTAAGATCATGTACTGTATAATAAAAAAGCGACTAGGTTACGTTATAGTGAAAGGATTTTGAAATGCTGTCATGATTCAACTGCCTCTTGAAGTTTTATAGAAAGTGTAGTACGCGAAATACAAATGCTTCTCGCATCTCATTTTCCATTCATGGTTTAGTTACCCGTGACGTTATGTGTCCTTTTACTTTGTGAAGCAGTACGTTTACCGATTTAAAGAGGTGAGCGTTCTTCACCTTTCCTCCTCAAGATGTCTGAACAGGCGAAAAGCGAACACAATTTGCATCACGAGTAAGGTTGTCGTTGATGTTCACTGGTTACATGTGGGGGAAAAAAAAATAATCTGCACTTCATTTCCAGATACAGGCGCTTGTCTACTTCATTTGATTGAGTGAACTTCTCTAGAGCGCTGCTCACTGAAACTATATTTCAATCATTTCTCAGGAAACATCACAAAACGTGAAACTCCTCAGAGGTCAATACAGTCGTACATTTGCTGGTAGGAGAATTAGATGTTTTTTTTTTTCTGTATGCAAGGAAGTGGTATTTTTCTACACTGTTCATCATAAGCCATATCGATATACTGTATCAGCCCCAGGTATGAAAAAGGCTGCACCACTGGTGTTGATGATTTAAGCCTGCTGCCAGATACAAGTCTGATGAGCAAAAGAAACCTAATTTTATCACTACCTCAAAGATATTGCTGTCATTCTGATGATGGAAAAAATATTTTTCTCTGGCCAGCTTACTTAATACTTTTACTAGCATAATGAATTTAGTGCTAATATAGTAAAATAAAATAAAAAACCATATGGCCAGTTATGGACAGTATTCTTTTTAAAAACGAGCTGCTCATTAGATGTTTCAGAGACTACTTAATGGTGTGTTTATTTTTTAGCAGTTTTACATTAGAGGTACATAATATACAACTTTCCTCTGTGTAAATCCTATTCACAATAACAGATAAAAGGAATTCAGGGTAAATAATGTAGCTTAATTAAAATATTTAAATGTAGATGGTAGTTGAATCAAGGGGCATTATGTATGAACAAAAACTGATCTTGTATATCGTTATAATTTTATGCATGGCAACATCCATAATGTGACATTGAGCAGATCCTGAAATATTAAATAAGAAAGCATGAACATATGGAGGTCTTAACTAAGTCTTTTATATGCAGGATGAGTTCTTGTCTTTGTCTCAAACACTTTTTGACCTATAAATATAATTAGCAATGCTGAGCATCTTTGAAGTTTTACAGAATATTTACACAAGACGAGATGTTACTGTCATTTTGATTCACATGTCCCATGGGAGTTTATGTTAAAATTAGGAATTTCAGCTCTTTGTAAATAATTAATTTTAGAACGGAATAGCATTTTAAAAAATCACAGAATGGAAAATTGAGAAAACGTAAGAACATTACATAAAAATTGCACCCTTTAAAAATTTTTAAAAAATCTATCACACACACAGTGACATTTAACCCATATAAAAAAAAGAGTTCAGGACTGTAGAACTTCATAAAAGATTTTAAAAGGTGTAATAATGTTTTCTAGCAATTTAGAGTTTAGACCGGTGTGGAATGCCAGGAGATGGAAACTGGGCGTTGAGATCACACCAGTAACGTACCTATATTAATTCATGTCTTGTCCATAAAACAAGCAGACAAAACATTGCATTTCATATCACCGGTGTCCCAGTACAGTTGTCATGCTTAAGAACACAATTCACAGATCACCAAAAATGAATTCAATCTGTTGGTCTACATACAGTATGGATCCTAGTAATCAATTTGGTCAAAAGTTGACAGTGTGTAAGTCCCTGCCCACACACACACAAACTCACAGCAAAACACATCTCATAGCCACAGCCATGCACAAACAGCACATTCCAGACACCCTTCCAGACTCCCCCTCTCTTCAGAGAGCTGTGAATCACACAGTGGCCTTTCTTCTTAAAGTAGCTCCTTCAGTTAAAACCAGTTGCTGTTTGTCATTTAGTTCGACCTGTCAGAGATAAAAAGAAGGACAAGTGTTAATGATAAATCACCTCATCACAATGTGCCTGTGTGATTGAATTTTTAAAGGCTCATGATTTTTTTCTTATTGGGTTTAGATTGTCAAACACTTAATAAATAACAAAATGATCCACTGCTTAAGATATCATACAATGCCCTCCAACAGGTGTGGGGCAGTGGTTCTTGAAGTATTAATTCTGGAGCCACAGTGAATTACAATATCAATAAAGATGAGAGGTACAGTTTCATGTATATCTCTAAAAGGTTTCAGAATTGGCTTAGAAGTACAGAGATGAGCCAGGAGAGTTTTTAAACTAATTGTGTGGACAGGTGAGTCCGAGAAAACCCTTTATCAAAGTGATTGAAAGCTCAAAGTGTACAGAAAGAGAGAAACTTCAGATGCACCACTACATCTGTGAAGCATGGCAGAGGTAGAGTATTTTCATCCTCAGTATGGGCCCGGTTCCCTCATTTTTCTGGATGATGTACCTATTGATGGCACGATAGCTAAACAAGTAGCAGAATGAATTCTGAAGTTTACAGAAACATTTAGTTTGCATATGTAGAAGGAAATGCTTCCCCCCATAATGGGTAGCACTTCTCCATGCAAGTTCAAGTTCAATACCTCATTGTATGGAATTTGGTTTGGTGAGTGCAAGCAATTAAAAGACATACAATACAAATACACCACACAGAGCCAATAATACAGCATCCACTCAACACATTTTCACATACCAACCTAAACACACACCAGTAATAACATATATAGCAGTGAGACCAGATGAAATGAAATAACAGTGAGCCATGCAAACATTTAAAAATGAAAGTACTGAGTTCATACATCTCACACCTTCCAGGTAGGTACCGAACCTATAAGTGCCTGTTTTGATAGACCTAAGCACTTAGCAGAGGGCAGGAAAGTGAACAGAGGTTGGGCAGTGAGGATCTTTAAAGCTTTGCGCTTCAGTCTAGAGAAATAAAATGAGTCCACAGAGGGAATTTTATAGAAGCTATACACTACTCTCTCCATCTGTTTCTTGTCCTGGGCTGAAGTGTTGCTATACCACCCAGTGATGGAGAGGAATGAAACACTCATGTCATGTAGCATGACAATTACCAAGGAGCTCATCAGCAGATCTTATATACGGTAACCCCTCATTACACAAGCTTGATTCTTTCCTGGAAAACTGCTCATAAAGCAAAAACTTATATAAGGGAAATTAAATTCCCATTAATTCCTGTGTTGCAATCTCCAATTGGTTCCAGAACTCAAAAACATTCCCTCAAACACCCAAGTTCTACCTTAGTATGGCATGGAATGGTACTCATTCCTGGTTAATTGAGTAACATGCCTAAAGTCATAAGCCAATGTATAAATAATAATGTGGAAAATGCCACCAATCCTGCTCATTTACTGTACTGTATAGTACATTGTTACAGTCGTTAGCAAATGCATAAACAAGGTAATTCAAGTACAGTAGGTAGCTGCAAAGGAACAAGTAAATGTTTATTCCATGCTGAAAAGAGAAGAAAAGAAACAACTTTGCATTTTTCTTCTCTTTAAATGCATATACAGTAGGTATTGTACTATATGCATTTAACACACAACCCTTTATTATAAAAAGTTCTTGTGCAATAAAAAATAAAACGTAAATTCTTCATCCAACTAGATGTGAGAAAGACAACAATGCTAATAACCTTTCATTAAATGAAAAATGAATTAATAGCCCGTATAAATGAAACCTTGTATAGCAGTTGGTCTTATAGTGAGGGATTACTATAACACATTTTTGTATTTCCTGCTGTGTGCTGACACCCTTCCCAATTTATTTGTTAAATTTAACAGATTGAAAAAAATAAAACAGTAAATGTGGCATGTGCAAACGTTTGGGCACCCAATTTTCTGATTCATATTAATATGATCACAAGATCATAATTTCATCATCACAAATACAAAGTGCTTGCCTGTAAACCGAAAATAGGCACGTTTGACTTTGCTGTCCCAATACATCTGGAGGGCACAGTATTTTAACCTGAGACACAGTCTAAAAATAAGCAGCTGAGCTGGAAGAAAAGAAATTCAGACAGTTCAGTTTCTGTAATACTGTTCACTGATGATACACAGCCAAAATATCATCCCTAATGTATTGGTTAAGAGCTCTTGTAGCAGAACATGTTTTCCTAGCAAAGGATAAATGAAAAAGGGTGGAAATTGTAGTAACACAAAAATAGGTTATGTCACATCTAGAAAATATTAAAGTATTTTCATCGACCTCAACAATGAAATACTACTCAGTTGAAAAGACATTATGAGGGGGACAGAATTTTTCTGCTATGCTTGAGCTGACCGAACGCACTCATATACTAGAAAATGTCACACCTGTCAATCTAGTATGAACCTGAAAAGCAGAGAAATTTAAAGGGTAAGATTTCAAAAAATGAAAAAATATATATATAGATTCATAAATTCATATATAGAAATAAACCTTTACATAACATTTTACATTCAAAATAAAAAAATAAGATATATATTTAATATATATCTGGTTTATTGTTTGAAAAAATCATGGAATTTACTAGTAACTATACAGTAACTTAGTAAGTATATTCATTACATTCTACACGACCACAATGTCCAGAACATGCTATTACGAGCAAATGTCAAATGTCAATTTTATTAAGAAATGTCTGTTATTGATTTGTACAGTTCTGCACTTCAATTTTGAGTGCTTTATTAAAAAGGCTTTTGGAAGCCCTGTTCTTTTTTTTTGATGTCCTCAGATCATATTAATGTCATGCGCATGTATTCAGGGAAACAAAATAAACAAATATTATACTATGAAAGAATTATCTTCAATCAATTTCCTGCAGTTGAGAGCTCCCATTATGTGGCGCATTTTATTTTTTCCGAAAGAAATGAAACAATTTTGGCTATAAAATATTTGTATCTGCCTTCCTAATAGCCTTCTATCTAACACAAAATATGTTTTACCATCATTCTCAGCAACATCATCACTCCTTGAGGATTTGTTTCTCTGTTCGTGTGTGGTATAATAAGCTAGGAAGTGATTTTGCTAATGGAAGATCAAGATTAAGGGTATTAAGAGGTACTAATCTGAAGGTTGGAAAACAATCCCCCTGGTGAATTCATGGGGGCAGCGACCATTGGCCCGTCTTGTGAAAATGAAGCAAATCCCGGCTCTTTTGAAGTTGGGGCTAGAGCATGCTAGCCGTGTATTCTTGAAAATTAACCACATTACAGAAGCCAACATGGATGTCTTCATCTTCTTACATGCAGGGACTTGGGTATGACTGTTGAAAACTAAGTGACATTTGAATCTTTTGCTCCATGCACTGGCATCAGAACTGATAAAATCAATGTTTGTTTAAATCCAGATCAGAAGCATGCAGCACTGAAATCCAGCACCCATTTATATGACTTTTAACAAAGCTATCAAATGTCTGTCTTTTAAAACTGCACAAAGAAAAATTAAATCTCAAACCAGAAGAGATATTACAGATCACATAGATCAGAAACAGACAGAGAGAAGCAGAAAACCCACTTCAGTCCGAAACAAGCTGAAAGGTTTGTTGTTGTTTTTTCTCTAAGGGTATTTCTTATAGTCTTTTACAAATAGTTGTGAGATTTGTCGCTTTGTGCTTCAAGGCTACTAATTTATCCTTTTTAAAGTTTTGACCACAATGAAGCCTCTGCAAGTTTAATTAGCTCATGCTTCATGATGATCTTTGACACGTTGAAACCATAAAAACAGTAGGTTAGGGCAGAACATTTGGGATGCATTTCCAATCTGGTGGAAACTGGGACAAAAACCATGTTGAAAATGGAACATGACCACTTAAGGATGAGTGATAAAATTTTAAATAAGCTTCTTCCATTACACTGCAGAAACTAGGGTAGCATGCTCTGAAAGAGCAGGCAGATCAGAAAAGTAACTGAATGCTTTGTACTGTAGTACTCAATTTTAGTAATGTAATTGTATTACTGCACTCAGCCATGGAGGGCAGTTAGCATTTCAAGACTTAAAAGGAGATCCTTCTTGGTCTCAAAACGTACTTTTTTTCCTTCTTTGTCATGTGCAGTATTAGGCAAATGCTGCAGAATGTGCACAGTTACATTTCAGTTGAACCTTGGAGCTTTGTTATTCTGACACTGAACACTATAGTGTCATAAAATGTGCCGCCCTTCAGAGGAGATGTAAAACCAAGGTCCTGACTCTCCGTGGCATTTCTTGAAAAGTGTAGGGGTGTTACCCTAGTATCCCAGCCAAATTTCCCTCTGGCCGTTATCAATCACGGCCACCTAATAATCCTCATCTCTGAATTGGCTTCATCATCTGTTCTCCTCCCCACTGAGAGCTGATGTGTGGTGAGCGTACTGGAGCAATATGGCTGCCACCACATCATTGAGGTGGGGCTGCGCACTGGTGGTGGTGGAGGGGAGTCCCCATTACCTGTAAAGTGCTTTGAGTGGAGCGTTCAGAAAAGCACTATATACAGTAAGTGTAAGGATTATTATTCTTCACTATTATTCTCGAACCTTCACCATAAAGTAAACTGTGTGCAATCCCATTTTCTGTCCCTTTTAATATAGAAAGTACTGTTTACTGAATGAAAAGGCCACAGTGTTTTGTACACTATTCACAGACTGCACTTGCCATAATGTGTAAATATGCTGTGTGGATTTTGGCAATAATCCAACAGCCCACAAAGGTCTCAGCATAGCACTCGCCTCACTCTACACAATACACTTTCATTTACTGTCTTCTGCAGAGAAAAATGTTAACTGCTCAGAAACAGCCACAGGGTTAGATGCAGAATACAGCTCCTGCATTAATAAACCTGTATTAGTTTTTAACCCATCATTCAATGTGCATGCCTTATGTTTGACTTTAGGCCCTGTCAAATGTACTTAAATCCTGAAAAAGTCAAATTAATGTTTTTTTCAACTCAAATCCTGACATTAATCAA